TGGCTTGACAATGGTACCCTAGTAACCACTGTCGTTGATGGTACGACAAAGACTCTAAGGACCGGACCACTAGTCGCTGCATAACCACCTGGAGGGGGCATGCCAAACATAGGTAAGAATGAGGGCCCAACCGGCAACGACGTCATCGATGGACCCGCAACCGATGGGGGAGCTACAACAAACTGAGGTTGCCTCATCACTGGCCGAGGAGCCTGTAGTGCATCCAGAATTCGTTTCTGGCCTGCCACTAGTTCAGCCAACACCTCCTGCTGAACTACCTGCGTCTCCGCCACACACAGGAGCGAATTTCGCAGTGATCGCATAGTGGGATCAAGTGCGGACTCATCTAGTGCTTCTAGCTTGCCTAGTTCCTGCAATCTACTACCTAGTCTAGCTTTTCTCATTATTGCTCTTCTTCTTCTCTCTGCTACCTCATCCAATTGCCGTTGTAGCTCATCCTGAAGTTCTTCTGCTTGGAGGATTCCATAATCCTCCGGTGTGAATTGAGCCTGCTGGCTGACTTGCAAGCCAGCACTCTGGCTAACAGAAGCCTGAGTACCACTCTGACTGACTCCTGACGAAGTGGCCTGCGAAGAGGCCTGCGACATGGAGGAGGTGGCCATGGTTGCACCTACACTAGCTATAGTTCTAGATCTGGCGCTGACCATGGCGTCCCTCTCTCTCCTCGTTGTTGCCCTCTCCCTAGCCTCTCTCCGCAGTCTTCTCTCGTCTCCTGGACCTAACTCTAGGAAAGTCAAGGGTCAACCGAGAGCAGTTCTTCGAGTGACCCTAAGGTCATCCACTAACAACTCCTCACTACTGTTTGCATCACTCATGAGCTACAGTGTGTGTGATCTAAACTAGAATCTACACTGAATCCTACCTCAACATGACACACAACCGATAATGATACACAACTGACTTCGGTTGGCCTGGACAGAAACAGTTAGGTGGTTAGGGGTCAACCAATGTCAGATCCTACAGGGAATATTAAATCTATTTTTAGATTACTCTAATACAGATTGTGATGCAGCAACGAATATTCTACTCAATCTGCAGCTGTCTGTCAGTTAATAGTCAAGTCCGTAACAACTAAATAATCAAAAATAAAAATAATATTCCCTGCAGAGATGTATGCTGAATGGCAATTTATCAAATTATTACCACCGCGAACAGTTGTCGGAATCCCCCCTCTCCCTGTATCCTTCTTGAGTTGTCACTTTGTGTCAACACCCTGAGCATCTGGTTGAGCAGCGTGTCTAAAGGTGTGCAATCCGGCCCACCCCTGTGCCCCAAGTCAACGCCGAACCTGCCAGCCCCGACACATTATTTACCCTCGCATGCAACGAGCCTTACACCCGGTTTGATCTGGCTGATCAGGAGGCATTTAAGGAGATCCCCCATAACTCCTCAGGAATTATTTAACATCGTACACAAGACGACGATCACAGCCAGAATCAACACCGAGTCCTTGCCAAAAATATTTAAAGACGGTCTGGTAAGCATCTGTTAAAAGGGATGGCATGCCCTGCATGACCTCTATTGCGCAACAGCAAAACCAATGACTTGCGGCAAAGCATGCGTGTACTCGTCCCAACGGGTTGGCATGGTGACCGTGACCCGAGTGCTTCGTCCAGGGCCCTTCAGAGGCATCACCCGTCTCCCACCAGCTTGCTGCTCAAGAAGAATGTCGACTCTCAAGGTTGAGCGCTCGCGACACCTCACATTGAGAGGACTCTCAAGACATAACTCACTTCCTCACCGTAAGAAGCAATGAAGAGGGTAGATGAGGAAGGAAGCAACGTACCTCATAATGCTGCCCCCAACCACAGATTTCTCACCGGCAACCTGATGTGCATTTATGATGACCGGTCTTTGCCTCGATACAACCAACAACAGAGTGCAGTTCCACCTTGTCTTACATGCCACATCAGCGAGCTCTTATCGTCCAGCGTACACCCCTAATGTCACCACATAGCTTCTTGGCGCGCCTACATGACCCTGGGTCGCCTTACGTCCAATCTCCCAAGCCTTATCACTGCCCCACACCTCATGTGAAGCACCGAACAGCTAATGCGAAGAACCAATGAGCGCAGTTCGAGCCAGCTCTAATACCAAATTGCAAGGAAAATGAACAGAAGCGAGATGACAATATTCAGATTGCACAATCACATTGAAAGTCAATTCGTATCACAGTGTTTAGAAAGCAGGATTGCACCAATATGACACCAATGGAGAATTGTAATACTGAAAACCAATGTCAATGAGAGCTTGCTCTCGCCACCACCAACATATGTATCCAGTCCCTATCTCCCTACTTGGCGCTCGGCGCCCAACCTACTCCCTACACAGCTACTACTAGCCTACTAATTGACAATGCAACTGTTGACGTTAGCCCCCAAAGTACTTGAAGTTGTCACCCATGCAGACCATCACCAATACCATGTATGTGCCCTCACATCGTCATCATCATCATCATCCTTCTCTCTCTCTCCCTCGTCTTCCCTCTCTTCCCGTTGTACGCCCGAAGACCACCCCTGCGCCTCACTGGACATCCAAGCCCGCCAGCTATGGAGGCTGGGCTATGGCGCTGCCCTCAGCAGCGCCCTGCTCCCTGCAGGACCGCGCGTGCTAGCACCTCGCCTGTCAGCGCTTAGCAGCAGCCCACGAGCTTCAGCTCCAGCAGCGCTGCCACAAGCATGCGAGTGCCCGAATGCCTAGCCAGGCAGCGAGCTCTTTCCTCTATGGAAAGAGCTGGCCTGCCTTTGCAGCCTGGCTGGCCAGGGCCTGGGCCCAGAAGCTTCCGGTAGGCCCCAGGATGCTGCGCCTCTGGTGCAGCTACTGGGCCTCATTCGGGTGGGCCTCCCAGCTGTCTGTGTATGAGGCTACGAATCTCGTCCAGAGCCTGTGCTTTTGGAAGAGCCTGGAAGGCCGTGGAATTTCCTTGCTTCTCGGCCTGTGTTTTCCTCAACCAACTGGCGTCACGAAACTGCCTGGACCCCAAATGCGAATTCGACAGCTTAGGGCCTCTCGGGATTTGTTAGGCCCGCCTTCACTTAGGGCGGGCACATTTGCAGCAGGGGCCCCTTAGGCCTGCCGAGGACCCAGATCCTCACAGTAATAAGTAAGTAATCACAAATAAAAATAAAATTGTTTGCTTGAATGCAAGCTGAATCGAGCAGTTCACTGGAATCTTTCCTCCCCCTCAATCTTTCTCAAGTTGTCACTTTGTGTTGACGTCCCTAGAGCTCTGGTTGAACAGCGTGTCTAAAGGTGTGCAATAGGCCCACCCCTGTGCCCCAAGTCAATGCAAGACCGACCAGTCCCGTCTGTACTATTTCTATACTCGCGTACAGCTCGAGTCGTGTATCCCCCCCCGACTCTCTTTATAGACGATCCGGTACTCGTCTCTTCCCCATAGGGCTGGCCTGGCTAATATGAGCTCTACGGCGCAGCAAAGCAGACCAAAAGGACTTAGTAGCAAAGCAGGGCCTTAGCAGGTGTGCTCTACTCCTAGTGGGTTGGCATGGTGACTGTGACTCAAGTGCTTCGTCCAGGCCCCTTCAGAGACAACACCCATTTCCCACCAGCATGCTCCCCAGAGGGAATGTCGACTCTCGAGGTTGAGTGACCGCGACACCTCACTATGAGAGAACTCTCAAGACAAGACACACTTCCTCACAGTAGGAAGTGATGAAGAGGGAAGATAAGATAGAAAGCAATGTACCTCATAATGCTGGCCTCAACCACAGATTGCTCACCTGTAACGTGACGTGCATTTCTGATGACCGTCCAATTTCTCGGCACAACCCACAATATGATGCTGTTCCACCTTGGCTTAAATGCCATGTCAGCGAGCTCTCATTATCTAGTGTGCACCCCAATGCCACCGCGTAGTCTTCCTGGCGCGCCCTCTCAACACAGGGCCGCCTTCGACCCAACGCACAAGCCTTATCACTACCTCGAACAGCTATTGCGCTGGAGCCAGCAGAGCGGCTCGAACCAGCTCCGATACCAAATTGCAAGGAAAATAAGCAATAGTGAAATAGACAATTCCAGATTGCAAAATCACAATGAAAGCCAGATAGTCATAAGTTGTCCAGAAAGCAGAAATGCACTTCTTATGAACTTGGTTGTCTGACAATTTTTACCACCACTCACACACAGACAGTCTCATACACGCCCATACATGCATAAGAGAAGGGGGAGAGGAGACAGAGTCCATACTGCACACAAATCAGAGTAGGCAGCGGAAGCTCAACCATGCACAGATGGGGAGGAAACACTCCGTGTTTCTCACTCTCTGACAACTCCCAACAACCAATCACATGAAGACACCTGCGAGGATAACAATTGGAATTCACACTGATGAAGAGCCAATTAAACCAGATATCGTTACAGAGTTTGTTCCAGTATCTTGCCACACTCAGAACCCCACACTCCACTCTCTACCCCACACCCAGTTAGTAGCGCACAACCGAAACAGCCTCCCAGAGGCCTGCGCCAACCACCCAGATGAAGAACAAATCCTGTGATGAAGCCTTCAGTGCCGATGGACAACTCTGACGAAGAAACAGGCAGCTATGGCTGCCGCCACCCACAAACACTCAGTGAAGAGCCTCGATATAGCCTGGCCAGACACAGATACCCCCAAGGGTAGATGCGCTGAGGGTGCCCCAGCTCCGGCAACCTTCAGAAGGGCCAGCTATGGCCGCCGTCCTGGCAAGGGTCTCAGGATGCCGCCTGCAGACAATTGCCACCACCAACTTGCTTGGCTTCTCCAAACCGCCTCTTCGTGAAAATGAACAGCCAAAAGTTCCGAATCAATTTTCCTAATTTATTAATAGAACTCTACTACTCTAGCCTAGACCTAGACCAGACTGACTGGACCGACCGGTACCGTTCCAGTTTCGGCCTCTCGGCCTCTCCCTACCCTGCTATAGGCTATAGGACTGTCTATCGGTATAGGCCCCTTCGGGCCTGTCCGTCGTAGGGGTAGCCCGGGTCTGCTATACGCAGTAGGGGTAGTTGTAGGAAATTCTGCTTAGTGATGGGCCTATATTTCCCATATTTGCAGGTATGTCCCTAACGAATTTTTCCTACAGGTAGGTCTCTCGGTTAGCCCTCAGCCAAACAAAATGACGAATCTAACCTACTGCTGTTACTGTACAGCCTCGCAGACAGTCTCCAGTCAAAATCAGCAAGTCATTGCACACTGATGTCACACCGAAGGAGAACCAAAGCAGCAAACTCAATTGTCAATGAAAGTATACTCTTGCCACCACTAAGAATGCAATCGAAGCTCTTCCTCCTATTGGCACTCAGCGCCAGACTACTATCCTACAGCTAAACTACCAGCCTACAAAATGACAGGGGAACCAGTTGACATCAGCCGCAGCAACCGAAGTACATGCACATGTCGACCATGTAGACCCCTGCCAAGACCAGGTACGTCCCCTCACATCACTTACCCTCTTGCCCCCTCATGCTCACCCTCAACTTGTTCACCCACGTCCTACCTCCTTCCAAGGACCACCGCCATACCCCACAGGCTTACTTCCAAGCCCAAGCCCGGCTATGGGGCTGGGCTATGGCGCTGCCTTCGTGCAGTGCTCTCTACCTCGTGGCCGCACTAGCGTTCATGCACCACACAGCGCTAGCAAGCAGGCGTGAGCGCACGCTCCAGCAGCGCTGCCGCTTGCAGTAGCAAGGGCCTGAATACCTTCCTCGTGGCCTGGCCCTTTCCTAAATGGAAATTGGCCGGGCTCATTGCCTGCACGCCAGGGACGCATGCGCAGCCAGTAGGTTCACTTTGTGCTGAAGTGTCTGTGCCCAGGCCCGTTCAGACAGTGGCCTGGGACCGAATTGGTTAGGCATGCCCAACCACCCAGGCGAAAACGTGAGGTACTCCTTGCTTCCCCTGCGATGTCGGAAGAGCCTAGAAGACACAAATATTTCTGATTCTCACGAGCAGGGCGGATTTAACCAACTGGCGTGTGGTAACTGTCTGGAGCCCACCAACGCTTTGTAAAATTGACAAATTCAGGCCTTGTTGAGATTCGGTGGTCCGCCTTCACCTAGGGCGGGCACATGCTTGCTATAGGGCTGCATGCAGGTATACCGGGGGATGAAATCCTCACTGTTTGCAGATCTTGGAATGCAGTCGGAAGGCGCCCGTGGGACGTTTACTCGAGTTGAGAGACATGCATAGTTCGAATACACGTACACAGCATGCCGATAGCAAACTTGCAAGCGTTGGAAAACAGGGCATGATCCACTGAGCCGGGTTGTGTCTAACATTCCTCGTGTGTGTGTGTGTGTGTGTGTGTGTGTGTGTGTGTGTGTGTGTGTGTGTGGTTGCCATGTGTGTGTGCGTGTGTGTGTGTGTGGTGTGTGTGTGTGTGGCATACTGCGTAGCCACACGGGCCTGCAGGGCCCGTCTCGCATTCTCAGCCTAAAAGCCTAGAAATAAGGGCTTACAGGCCCCATGTCGTTTCAGCCTGAAAACTGAAAACGAGGGCCTGCAGGCCCTATTTCGTTTTCAGCCTAAAACAGGGCTTTTCAGCCCTGAGCCTGAAACGGAGGGCCACTTTCGGGCCCTCATAAGATCGTCCTGCCCTAGAACTCAAGCAACAAACCAGGGTTTTGGGAACAGGCTATTTTTGGCCTGTTCCCCACGCCAGCCTCAGCAGGAGCTGCAGCGCCAGCCCCTGGCTTGCCCTGGCATTGGCAAGAGCAGCCTCCTGGACTGCCTCGCCCTGCAGTCAGGAGGCAGGCCGAGTAGTACATAGGGAGCTCCCATGCAATTCACGGGTGGGTAGTTGGACAGAAGGCAGGAGGCAGTCTTCAGGATTCGGCCGCAGCACTCTGGAGGAGCGCTGCAGGAGTAGCTTAGCGCTAGCAGTAGTCTTCAGCGCTGGGCGCTAGTAGCTGCAGGAGTAGTTCAGCGCAGGGCGCTAAGTAGTGGTAGTGGTAGTAGTCTTGGAGAGAGATGGCTGGCGGAGGGCAGCGAGACTTAGCTGTGGCGCCATAGCTCCAGCTCCATCTTCGAGGTACCTGCATCAAGGCGCCAGCTTCACAGGTTAGTACTGGAGAGAGAGAGAGAGAGAGAGAGAGAGAGAGAGAGAGAGAGAGAGAGAGAGAGAGAGTTCTTCTTCTTCCT